GTGTGTGTGTGGTTTAGGATGTAGAGTTACTCCATACAACAGGGCGGTCAGATCGCGAAGGCTAACCTGAATTGGATATTTGCAGCGTGTGTGTGGTTTCATCTCTATGCGGCGCCATCGTCAAAATCTTCTTCTTGGTATCATCAGTTGGATATTAGGATAGTAAACTTTTTTTTTTTTGAGACGGAGTTTAGGTCTTCTTGCCCAGGCTGGAGTGCAGTGGCGAGATCTTGGCTCACTACAACCTCCGTCTCCCAGATTCAAGTGATTCTCCTGCCTTAGCCTCCCAAGTAGCTGGAATTACAGGTGCGCACCACCACACCTGGCTAGTTTTTTTTGTATTTTTAGTAGAGATGAGGTTTCACCGTGTTGGTTAGGCTGGTCTCAAACTCGACTTGCTGATTCACCGCCTCAGTCTCCCAAAGTTCTGGGATTATAGGAGGCATGTAGGCAGGAGAGTAAAGTTTTTTTTGTTTTGTTTTGTTTTTTTCTTCTTGAGGTTGAATTTCATTCTTGTTGCCCAGCTTGGAGTGCAGTGGCACAATTTGGCTCACTGCAACTTCTGTCTCCCAGGTTCAAGCGATTCTCCTCTCTTAGCCTCCCAAGTAGCTGGAATTGTAGGCATATGCCACCCCGCCTGGCTAATTTTTTTTTTGTATTTAGTAGAGATGGGGTTCATCATGTTGGCTAGGTGGGTCTCAAACTCCTGGCCTCAGGTGATCCACCTGCCTCGACCTCCCAAAGTGCTGGGATTATAGGCATAAGCCACCATGCCCAGCCGATGGAAAGCTTTGATCAAGTCTCTTAACTGGGCCTTAATTTTGTCATTTGTTTATTTATTTATTTATTTTTTGGGACGGAGTTTCGCTCGTTACCCAGGCTGGAATGCAATGGCGCGATCTCGGCTCACCGCAACCTCCACCTCCTGGGTTCAGGCAATTCTCCTGCCTTAGCCTCCTGAGTAGCTGGGATTACAGGCACGCGCCACCATGCCCAGCTAATGTTTTGTATTTTTAGTAGAGACGGGGTTTCACTGTGTTGACCAGGATGGTCTCGATCTCTTGACCTCGTGATCCACCCGCCTCGGCCTCCCACAGTGCTGGGATTACAGGCTTGAGCCACCGCGCCCGGCGGTTTTGTCATTTGTTATACAAGATGCCTAGATGGAAGATGTTTGGGTTAATTATATATGAATGATTTCAAACTTTAAGCTTTTTTATTTTTTGAGGGAAGGCATCTTTATGAATCTGAGTGTTTTAAAGCAAGAAATACTGTGCTCACTTAAGCAGCACGTATACTAGCACTGGAACAATACCAAGAAGACTGGCATGGCCCCTGTGCAAGGATGACATGCAATTTGTGAAGTGTTTAATATTTTTCATTTAAAAAAAATACTTTTAGATAAGGACATTTTTAGAATTGTTTCAAAATTAATGTTAAAATAATTCTGTTTTTTCTTCCCTGAAGCCCCTAAGAGACGACGGCCTGCACGTTCAATTTTTGATGGTTTCCGGGATTTTCAGACTGAAACCAGTAGGTATCTGTGGGCCAGTTTATTATCTCTCTCTTCCCTTCTCCTCTTATTAAAAAGAAAAAGATGATTACTGTTAGGCCTAATTACTTGGAGGTTTCACCTTATTTAAAAAGTGAAATTATGGATCCAGAATGTGATTAATTCTCTCCTGAGCTGAATTGTTCCAAATGCTACCCTATTTGGTTATAGAAAAATAGTAAAGTAGATGCAGATAATGTAGGAAATCTGGTAATTGGTACACTTAATTAGCTTGTGGATAAACACTTACTGTAAAAAACTGATTTCTCTTGGGATCCTGATTTCTGTCAATGAAAGGAATATATAATGAAAATGATTATTAAAAAAGATTGAAAAATGGAAGAAAAAGCCACACCACCCAAGGCAGCCACTATTAATATTTTAGTTATCCTTGTTGGAAATATTTTTGTGTAATAAGTTAGAATGAGAATGTTGGTCTTATACTTTTAGCGGATTTAGTACTGATGTAACAATGGAATCCTAAAGAAAGAACAGTTATGTTAAGAGGATATATGAGAAACCCTTGGACCATGCTTGATTTTGCAGTTTATTTATAGTGAGTTCATTGAGGCACAGATAGGTCTTGTGCCTTTGGAGAGAATTAATGGAGAAACTAAACAGACTCAAGTCATCTAGGTAATCCCGTTTCCTTCCAGTGGAAGGTAACGACAGTGGTCATCATCTCTACTGCCATAATCTTTATTATTATTATTATTTGTTTTTGAGATGGAGTCTCACCTTGTCACCCAGTCTGGAGTGCAGTGTCGCGATCTGGGCTCTCTGTAGGTTCCACCTCCCGGGCTCAAGCAGTTCTCCTGCCTCAGCCTCCTAAGTAGCTAGGATTGCTGGCGCCTGCAACATGCCCAACTAATTTTTGTATTTTTAGTAGAGTCATGGTTTCACTGTGTTGCCCAGGCTGGTCTTGAACTCCTGACCTCAGGTGATCTGCACATCTCAGCCTCCCATAGTGCTGGGATTACAGTCATGAGCCACCGTGCCTGGCCCCGAATCTTTAAAGATTGAGAACGTAGCTGAAAACAGCAGATGAATTTACATTGCTTTCAGAACTAGATAAATGAGGATGAAAGTTTTCCCCTATGCTTTTTGTTTTGTTTGAGATGGAGTCTCACTCTCTTCCACAGGCTGGAGTGCAGTAGCGTGATCTCAGCTCACTGCAACCTCCACCTCTTGGGTTCAAATGATTCTCCTGGCTCAGCCTCCTGAGTAGCTGGGAGTACAGGCATGCATCACCATACTTGGCTAATTTTTTTTTTTTTATATATTTAGTAGAAATGAGGTTTCACTATGTTGGCCAGGCTGGTGTCAAACTCCTGACTTCAGGTGATCCTCTCACCTGGGCCTCTCAAAGTGCTAGGATTACAGGTGTGAGCCACTGCACCCAGCCTCTCCCATGTTTAAGTTAGCTTTTGAATATGTGAAGAAGTTGCTTTGATTATAGGACTATTTTCAATTAATTTTCTTTGTATCCTTTGGATAGGGAATACCACCAAGTCTTAAGATTCCTCTTACTCCCCCTTGCATTTTTTTTTCAGAGTCAGCATTAGATCTTAATATTTGAGGTCAAGCACATTGTCAGCAATTTCTTCAATTGACAGAAGTTTTTGTTTTTTTAATGGGATTTATGATTTTTTTTTTATTGCTAACTGAAACTTTTTCATCCTTCTGTATTATAGTTCGGCAAGAACAAGAATTAAGAAATGGTGGAGCTATAGATAAGAAATTGACTACCCTTGCAGATCTATTCCGGCCACCCATTGATTTGATGCATAAAGGCAGCTTTGAAACAGTAAGTTATTGGAGATTCTGTGCTTTAGCTATGAATGCTTTTGCATTTTCAGTGCCTTTTTAAAAAAAAAGTTACTTGTTTTAGAGACAGTGTCTCGCTCTGTCGTGCAGGCTGGAGTGCAGTGGCACAGTCAGCTCACTGCAGCCTTGAACTCTTGGGTGCAAGGGATCCTCCCACCCCAGACTTTCAAGCAACTAGGGCTATGGACATGCACCACCACACTCAGCTAATATAAAAAAAATTTTTTTTGGTAGAGACAGGGTCTTATTATGTTGCTCACGCTGGTCTCAAATGCTTGGGCTCAAGCAATCCGCACACTTCAGCCTCCCAAAACGCTTGGATTACTGGTGTGAGCCACTGCACCTGGCCTTCAGTGACGTTTTTTATAAGAGCAAAAAACCATTTTCAGTGTATAGGGAATTGGCATCATAATAAGTATATCTATGTGATATGC